TCGAGTCCTTCCGAGGTGAGCCACGGAAGTATGCCAAAGAAATGAAAAACGAAGGAGATTTGAGGTGGGGGGGGTTGGAAAAAGGACCCCGGACGCATCCCAGAGGCACCGAGCGGGCGCGACTTACCTGCAGAGGCACGTAATTGACGTTCACAAACTGGACGGGCGTCCAAACTTTCCAGTTCATTTTGAGCGCCGCCCAGTAGCTACTCCGCATCTTCTCCGTGAACGCGGACAGGTCCTTCCCCTGGAAGGCAAGGACCGGCGGTGACGGGCCGGCACACGGCGGAGGGTCCCTGTTCTGTGCCCCCCCAGGGAGAGGCGCCTACCTCCAGCAGGTTCATGACGAAGAAGAAGAGGACCAGGAAAGGGGGGGCCACGAGCAGACGATCCACCAGAAGCCTCTTGATCACGGCAAAAGCGGCATCCGGTGGGATCAGCTGCTCCAGGTACAGGTAGAAATAGTGACTGAGCGGCCCTGTGAACAGAAAACTGACAAACCAGAGGGTGTGACCAGACGGCAACGACCTTCCCCCGGTGTCCTCCCACCCCGTGACCACAAGAACACAACACCCGTCTGCCGAAATCCAGGGCGCTTTACCCCACTGGCCCCATCGGAATGGAGAGCCGAAAAGATAAGTGATGTGACCAAGGTCACAACGGCCGTCGGTGGCGGAGCCGGCTACAAGTAGCACCTGAAGCTCTCCGGCCGCCTCCGCCTCCTCTTCTCGTAGGAGTCGACAGGAGCGCGCTCGGAGGCCAACCGGTCGTGGCTAAGCCAACACGACCAATCGACGGCCACAGCAGTGATCCAGCGGAGGCACGTCCTGTGGGTCAACACACCTGTACCGCTGAGGGTTTCCTGATTTTTCTGGCTTCTCCACCTTCAGTTTAATTTCCTGACGGCTAGGGTTTGGGTCCTCGAAAGACCAGACACGGGACCTGTTCATACTCCCCAGTAAAGCAAGCAAGGTCCTTCAGGCTGAGAGATTCTCCAAGCACGTCCGAGTCAGATAATCTCGGTTCCTAGCTTGCAAACCAGACCAAAAGTGACACTCAAATGGTCACTTGGCTGGTGACTGGAGGTCGGTGGCCACCGCAGAATCCTAGAACAGGAAGGGACCTCGGGAGGTCATCAAGTCCCGTCCCCTGCCCTCCCGGCAGGACCAAGCACCGTCTAGAGTAGACCATCCCTGGTAGACATCTACAGAATCATAGGACACTAGAACGGGAAGGGACCTCGAGAGGTCATCAAGTCCAGCCCCCTGCCCTCCCGGCAGGACCAAGCACCGTCTAGAGTAGACCATCCCTGGTAGACATCTACAGAATCATAGGACACTAGAACGGGAAGGGACCTCGAGAGGTCATCAAGTCCAGCCCCCTGCCCTCCCGGCAGGACCAAGCACCGTCTAGAGTAGACCATCCCTGGTAGACATCTACAGAATCATAGGACACTAGAACGGGAAGGGACCTCGAGAGGTCATCAAGTCCAGCCCCCTGCCCTCCCGGCAGGACCAAGCACCGTCTAGAGTAGACCATCCCTGGTAGACATCTACAGAATCATAGGACACTAGAACGGGAAGGGACCTCGAGAGGTCATCAAGTCCAGCCCCCTGCCCTCCCGGCAGGACCAAGAACCTTCTAGACCATCCCTGGTCGATGTCTATCCAACCTGCTCTTGACTATCTCCAGTGATGGAGACTCCACAAACTCCTTCGGCAATTTATTCTAGTGTTTAACCATTCAGACAATTAAGAAGTTTTCCCCCGTGTTCGACCTTTCTGCGATTTAAGACGTTTGCTTCTCGGCCGATCCTCAGAGGCCAAGGAGAACAATTTTTCTCCCTCCCCATTGTAACACTATTTTAGATACTTGAAAACCCCACTCAGTTTTCTCTTTTCCGAACTGAACCCAATTCCTTCAGTTTTCCTTCCTAGCTCACATCTCCTAGATTTTTAATCGATTTGGTTGCTCTTCACTGGACCGTCTTCCCTCTCGGTCTTCTCCTTTCCAAACAAAACAAGCCCAGTTCTTTCAGTCTTCCCTCATCGCTCACGTTTTCGAGACCTTGAATAGTTTTTTTTTTTAAAGGAAAGGACCCATCTCTATGGCTACGTCTAGACTGCACGCCTTTTCCGACAGAGGCTTTGTCAACAGATACCGTCGACAAAGCCTCTGTCGAAAAAGTGCGGCTAGACTCCAACCAGTTCTGTCGAAAAAGCAAGCCGCGTTTTCAAATTGGAGCGTAGAGGCTCTCTTTCGAAAAAGCAGTTTACATGCACTAGTGCCTTTTCTCGACAGAACTCTGTCGACAAAAAGGCATTATTCCTCATCAGACGAGGTTTACTGCTGTCGACAAAATTGCCGGGTTCTCTCGACAGAACGCGGCAGAAAGCAAGCCGCGTTTTCCAATTGGAATGTAGAGGCTCTCTTTCGAAAAAGCACAGTTTGCACGCAAGAGTGCCTTTTTTCGACAGAACTCTGTCGACAAAAAGGCATTATTCCTCGTCAAACGAGGTTTACTGCCATCAACAAAATTGCCGCGTGCTGTCGACAGAACGCGGCAGAAGTGGAGACGCAGGTATAAGTTAATTGACAAAAGTGGACTTTTGTCAACAAAACCCTGTAGTCTAGACACATCCTATGAAGCCAACCTTCCCCTTCCAGGTAGTCTAAGGCAGTTTTTCTCAACCAATCATGTGAGTCCTCTCAGAGGTACCCGAGAAACGTTGAGGGGCGAGGGGGGTTACATCAACACCACTGAAATTTGGAGAAAACGCAATGTTTGTTTTAAGTTTTACAATGCTTCATTATTTTTATACTTCCAAGACCCCAAAATTTCATCGCCATCCCGGCTACGATGAAGTGGTTGAAACAAACGTGTTGCAATGGTGGACAAAATTTCTGTGCGTCGGAAAACTGTAGGTATTGGGGGTACTGATATTTAAACACACAAAAAAAGGTACTTTAAAAAAAACGGTCTTTGGCTCGGACACAGGAAATAGCTCTTTAATGCGATGGTCCCCAATGCGGTGCCCGGAGGCGCCATGGCACCCGCCGGGGCCCCGAAAGGTTGGGGACCACTGCTAATGGAACTCCCACAGCACTAAAATGCTGGGATTGGATAGACCCTACAATAATTCCTCATTTAACACTATAGATGCGTTTCTGAAAATGCTCGTGCTAAGCGAAAAACGTACTACGCGAGGTCAATGTTCCCAGTCCAAGTAACAGAAAAGGTGGGGGTCGCGTTTCACGGGGTGGCGGCAAAGTCAGTTTTTTGTTGGTGCTGGGTCATCAACGTCAACATTAGCTATCTAGCAACACAAGATGACTCGCCACACGAGTCGCTGCGGTTTGTTAAAACACGAAGATAAACACGTGAGCGAGCGGAGGAGCGCTGCGACCACGTGAATTCAGCCGCTCATGCGTATTACGCCTGTTTTAACCAACTTATACCGCGGCACGAAGTAGTCCGCCACTTGATTATTTTCGTGTTATTTCAGGGACGGTCATGTTATCCGACAAACGTTCTAAAAAAAATGGTGCTATTGCGAAAACGTGTTAAGCGGGCACGTGTTAAACGAGTCATTACCGTACAAGCCTCTTTCGAAAGCGAGCGTCTCGACAGCCACAAGTCTTCCGAAAAAGCGATCCGCTTTCTTAAAAGCGCGCACCCAGGCAATCCAGGAACGCTCTTTCGAAAAAGCCGTGTTTGCGTTCCAGGATGCCTTTTTTCGAAAGAGCTCTTTCCTCCTCGTAAAAGCAGCCTTACCAATATCAAAAAAAAAACCCCGCCGCGATCTTTCGGTTTCATTTCGAAAGAACGCGACGGCAGTCTTGATGCAGGGGACTTTTTTTTTTTTAAATGCCACTTTTTTCGAAAAAAAATTCCATAGTCTAGACACACCCTAAGGCAGGGGTCTCCAACCTTTCGTGGCTGCCGGGCGCCTGGGCCGCTCATGCACCAGGGGGTGGTGCCACTCCCAGAGCCGGCACCACGCATGTGCTGTGCGCCCGGGGCAGAGACCAACCCAGATGTTTTGGCAGGTGCACATAAATGCCCCCGCAGGCGCCATGGCGCCCGCAGGAACCGTGTTCGGGACCCTGCCCTAAGGTATCAGCGAATCCGGGTGATTCTCCTTCGTTACGGACCCATTGTGGTGCGTACAATAACGACACTCGGTCAGTCGTTTTGCGGAGAGATTACTTATACGCACCCACGAAATACGAACAGCTGGTCCGGGGAGTAACGAAATCGTGGCGCTGTGGTTCTTGTGGGCAACGGGGCTGCTTAATTTAAACTCCTCCACGACTGAGGGCTGAGTCTCCCGAGTCCACGGGCCGGCTGGGGGCGAGGAGGGATGCAGCCGGCTCCGGAACGGCACTTACCCATAGATGGCGAATCTCAGGGGACCGCTCAGGTCTACGCTCTTGGACGTCCCCGGCTTTCGCCGGCTCCTCTCGATGACTTGGGACAAGAGGCTGCCAAGCGCGGACAACACAGCACTGCAGGCAGAGGGGCGGAGACTAGATTGGCGAGATCGCCCAGTCTAGATTTTTTGCGGAAAAACTTGCCAGGTGTCTACACTGGCCGCTTGAATTTCCGGAAAAGCACTGACGATCTCCTGGAAGATCGTGAGTGCTTTTCCGGAAATACGACGCTGCTCCCGTTCGGGCAAAAGTCTTTTTCCGAAAGATTTTGGCGCAAAAAGGCCAGTGTAGACAGCACAGTCGTGTTTTCCGCAAAAAAGCCCCGCTGGCGAAAATGGCGATCGGGGCGTTTTTGCGGAAAAGCGCGTCTAGATGGGCCAGGGACGCTTTTCGGCAAAACGTGGAAAAGCGCCCGTGCCAATCTAGACGCTGTTTTCCGCAAATGCTTTTCACGGAAAAACGTTTCCGTTAAAAGCATTGGTGGAAAATCATGCCAGTCTAGACGTAGCCTGGGGCAAATACCCCCCCTCCCGGGGCAAAAGGGAACCCTGGGAGGAAAACACCCACGGGTCCAGCGAGTCCGCTCAAGGCTGCGCCTTGCACCCGGGCCCAAGGAGACAGGGGCTGGCAGACGGTGGGGCAGCCCGTAAGAGCAAGGGGGTGAAAGCCAAGTCCCCGGCAGCCCCTGGGGGGGGAGGCACAGGGGGAGGGCCCGTAAGAGCAAGGGGGTGAAAGCCAAGTCCCCGGCAGCCCCTGGGGGGGGAGGCACAGGGGGAGGGCCCGTAAGAGCAAGGGGGTGAAAGCCAAGTCCCCGGCAGCCCCTGGGGGGGGAGGCACAGGGGGAGGGCCCGTAAGAGCAAGGGGGTGAAAGCCAAGTCCCCGGCAGCCCCTGGGGGGGGAGGCACAGGGGGAGGGCCCGTAAGAGCAAGGGGGTGAAAGCCAAGTCCCCGGCAGCCCCTGGGGGGGGAGGCACAGGGGGAGGGCCCGTAAGAGCAAGGGGGTGAAAGCCAAGTCCCCGGCAGCCCCTGGGGGGGGAGGCACAGGGGGAGGGCCCGTAAGAGCAAGGGGGTGAAAGCCAAGTCCCCGGCAGCCCCTGGGGGGGGAGGCACAGGGGGAGGGCCCGTAAGAGCAAGGGGGTGAAAGCCAAGTCCCCGGCAGCCCCTGGGGGGGGAGGCACAGGGGGAGGGCCCGTAAGAGCAAGGGGGTGAAAGCCAAGTCCCCGGCAGCCCCTGGGGGGGGAGGCACAGGGGGAGGGCCCGTAAGAGCAAGGGGGTGAAAGCCAAGTCCCCGGCAGCCCCTGGGGGGGGAGGCACAGGGGGAGGGCCCGTAAGAGCAAGGGGGTGAAAGCCAAGTCCCCGGCAGCCCCTGGGGGGGGAGGCACAGGGGGAGGGCCCGTAAGAGCAAGGGGGTGAAAGCCAAGTCCCCGGCAGCCCCTGGGGGGGGAGGCACAGGGGGAGGGCCCGTAAGAGCAAGGGGGTGAAAGCCAAGTCCCCGGCAGCCCCTGGGGGGGGAGGCACAGGGGGAGGGCCCGTAAGAGCAAGGGGGTGAAAGCCAAGTCCCCGGCAGCCCCTGGGGGGGGAGGCACAGGGGGAGGGCCCGTAAGAGCAAGGGGGTGAAAGCCAAGTCCCCGGCAGCCCCTGGGGGGGGAGGCACAGGGGGAGGGCCCGTAAGAGCAAGGGGGTGAAAGCCAAGTCCCCGGCAGCCCCTGGGGGGGGAGGCACAGGGGGAGGGCCCGTAAGAGCAAGGGGGTGAAAGCCAAGTCCCCGGCAGCCCCTGGGGGGGGAGGCACAGGGGGAGGGCCCGTAAGAGCAAGGGGGTGAAAGCCAAGTCCCCGGCAGCCCCTGGGGGGGGAGGCACAGGGGGAGGGCCCGTAAGAGCAAGGGGGTGAAAGCCAAGTCCCCGGCAGCCCCTGGGGGGGGAGGCACAGGGGGAGGGCCCGTAAGAGCAAGGGGGTGAAAGCCAAGTCCCCGGCAGCCCCTGGGGGGGGAGGCACAGGGGGAGGGCCCGTAAGAGCAAGGGGGTGAAAGCCAAGTCCCCGGCAGCCCCTGGGGGGGGAGGCACAGGGGGAGGGCCCGTAAGAGCAAGGGGGTGAAAGCCAAGTCCCCGGCAGCCCCTGGGGGGGGAGGCACAGGGGGAGGGCCCGTAAGAGCAAGGGGGTGAAAGCCAAGTCCCCGGCAGCCCCTGGGGGGGGAGGCACAGGGGGAGGGCCCGTAAGAGCAAGGGGGTGAAAGCCAAGTCCCCGGCAGCCCCTGGGGGGGGAGGCACAGGGGGAGGGCCCGTAAGAGCAAGGGGGTGAAAGCCAAGTCCCCGGCAGCCCCTGGGGGGGGAGGCACAGGGGGAGGGCCCGTAAGAGCAAGGGGGTGAAAGCCAAGTCCCCGGCAGCCCCTGGGGGGGGAGGCACAGGGGGAGGGCCCGTAAGAGCAAGGGGGTGAAAGCCAAGTCCCCGGCAGCCCCTGGGGGGGGAGGCACAGGGGGAGGGCCCGTAAGAGCAAGGGGGTGAAAGCCAAGTCCCCGGCAGCCCCTGGGGGGGGAGGCACAGGGGGAGGGCCCGTAAGAGCAAGGGGGTGAAAGCCAAGTCCCCGGCAGCCCCTGGGGGGGGAGGCACAGGGGGAGGGCCCGTAAGAGCAAGGGGGTGAAAGCCAAGTCCCCGGCAGCCCCTGGGGGGGGAGGCACAGGGGGAGGGCCCGTAAGAGCAAGGGGGTGAAAGCCAAGTCCCCGGCAGCCCCTGGGGGGGGAGGCACAGGGGGAGGGCCCGTAAGAGCAAGGGGGTGAAAGCCAAGTCCCCGGCAGCCCCTGGGGGGGGAGGCACAGGGGGAGGGCCCGTAAGAGCAAGGGGGTGAAAGCCAAGTCCCCGGCAGCCCCTGGGGGGGGAGGCACAGGGGGAGGGCCCGTAAGAGCAAGGGGGTGAAAGCCAAGTCCCCGGCAGCCCCTGGGGGGGGAGGCACAGGGGGAGGGCCCGTAAGAGCAAGGGGGTGAAAGCCAAGTCCCCGGCAGCCCCTGGGGGGGGAGGCACAGGGGGAGGGCCCGTAAGAGCAAGGGGGTGAAAGCCAAGTCCCCGGCAGCCCCTGGGGGGGGAGGCACAGGGGGAGGGCCCGTAAGAGCAAGGGGGTGAAAGCCAAGTCCCCGGCAGCCCCTGGGGGGGGAGGCACAGGGGGAGGGCCCGTAAGAGCAAGGGGGTGAAAGCCAAGTCCCCGGCAGCCCCTGGGGGGGGAGGCACAGGGGGAGGGCCCGTAAGAGCAAGGGGGTGAAAGCCAAGTCCCCGGCAGCCCCTGGGGGGGGAGGCACAGGGGGAGGGCCCGTAAGAGCAAGGGGGTGAAAGCCAAGTCCCCGGCAGCCCCTGGGGGGGGAGGCACAGGGGGAGGGCCCGTAAGAGCAAGGGGGTGAAAGCCAAGTCCCCGGCAGCCCCTGGGGGGGGAGGCACAGGGGGAGGGCCCGTAAGAGCAAGGGGGTGAAAGCCAAGTCCCCGGCAGCCCCTGGGGGGGGAGGCACAGGGGGAGGGCCCGTAAGAGCAAGGGGGTGAAAGCCAAGTCCCCGGCAGCCCCTGGGGGGGGAGGCACAGGGGGAGGGCCCGTAAGAGCAAGGGGGTGAAAGCCAAGTCCCCGGCAGCCCCTGGGGGGGGAGGCACAGGGGGAGGGCCCGTAAGAGCAAGGGGGTGAAAGCCAAGTCCCCGGCAGCCCCTGGGGGGGGAGGCACAGGGGGAGGGCCCGTAAGAGCAAGGGGGTGAAAGCCAAGTCCCCGGCAGCCCCTGGGGGGGGAGGCACAGGGGGAGGGCCCGTAAGAGCAAGGGGGTGAAAGCCAAGTCCCCGGCAGCCCCTGGGGGGGGAGGCACAGGGGGAGGGCCCGTAAGAGCAAGGGGGTGAAAGCCAAGTCCCCGGCAGCCCCTGGGGGGGGAGGCACAGGGGGAGGGCCCGTAAGAGCAAGGGGGTGAAAGCCAAGTCCCCGGCAGCCCCTGGGGGGGGAGGCACAGGGGGAGGGCCCGTAAGAGCAAGGGGGTGAAAGCCAAGTCCCCGGCAGCCCCTGGGGGGGGAGGCACAGGGGGAGGGCCCGTAAGAGCAAGGGGGTGAAAGCCAAGTCCCCGGCAGCCCCTGGGGGGGGAGGCACAGGGGGAGGGCCCGTAAGAGCAAGGGGGTGAAAGCCAAGTCCCCGGCAGCCCCTGGGGGGGGAGGCACAGGGGGAGGGCCCGTAAGAGCAAGGGGGTGAAAGCCAAGTCCCCGGCAGCCCCTGGGGGGGGAGGCACAGGGGGAGGGCCCGTAAGAGCAAGGGGGTGAAAGCCAAGTCCCCGGCAGCCCCTGGGGGGGGAGGCACAGGGGGAGGGCCCGTAAGAGCAAGGGGGTGAAAGCCAAGTCCCCGGCAGCCCCTGGGGGGGGAGGCACAGGGGGAGGGCCCGTAAGAGCAAGGGGGTGAAAGCCAAGTCCCCGGCAGCCCCTGGGGGGGGAGGCACAGGGGGAGGGCCCGTAAGAGCAAGGGGGTGAAAGCCAAGTCCCCGGCAGCCCCTGGGGGGGGAGGCACAGGGGGAGGGCCCGTAAGAGCAAGGGGGTGAAAGCCAAGTCCCCGGCAGCCCCTGGGGGGGGAGGCACAGGGGGAGGGCCCGTAAGAGCAAGGGGGTGAAAGCCAAGTCCCCGGCAGCCCCTGGGGGGGGAGGCACAGGGGGAGGGCCCGTAAGAGCAAGGGGGTGAAAGCCAAGTCCCCGGCAGCCCCTGGGGGGGGAGGCACAGGGGGAGGGCCCGTAAGAGCAAGGGGGTGAAAGCCAAGTCCCCGGCAGCCCCTGGGGGGGGAGGCACAGGGGGAGGGCCCGTAAGAGCAAGGGGGTGAAAGCCAAGTCCCCGGCAGCCCCTGGGGGGGGAGGCACAGGGGGAGGGCCCGTAAGAGCAAGGGGGTGAAAGCCAAGTCCCCGGCAGCCCCTGGGGGGGGAGGCACAGGGGGAGGGCCCGTAAGAGCAAGGGGGTGAAAGCCAAGTCCCCGGCAGCCCCTGGGGGGGGAGGCACAGGGGGAGGGCCCGTAAGAGCAAGGGGGTGAAAGCCAAGTCCCCGGCAGCCCCTGGGGGGGGAGGCACAGGGGGAGGGCCCGTAAGAGCAAGGGGGTGAAAGCCAAGTCCCCGGCAGCC